AGTTTGGCGCTGCAGCGGCCTCCGCTTCGCCCTCCGCACCGGCCAAAGCATTGCCTGATGTTTTGGCCGAGGGGCGCAGGTCCGGGGGTCGCCAGCTGACGGGCGCAGGAGGTAGGCGCCGCCTCGGCCTCCCAGCCGCTTGCTTCTTCGCCTGGAGCAGTTGCAAGGGCTTGCATGGTCGCCAGCGGCGGGGAGCGCGTCAGCGGCCCTTGGGGACCATGCAAGCCCTTGCAACTGCTCCAGGCGAAGAAGCAAGCGGCTGGGAGGCCGCGGCGGTGCCTACCTCCTGCACCCGTCAGCTGGCGACCCCCGGATCTGCGCCCATCGGCCGGAACGTCAGGCAACGCTTTGGCTGGTGCGGAGGGCGAAGGGGAGGCCGCTGCAGTGCCGAACTCCTGCGCCCGTCAGCTGGCGACCCCCGGACCTGCGCCCGTCAGCTGGGAGGTCTGGAGATGGAACAGGCTGGCGTGGAGGGCGATGGGGAAGCGGTGGCTCGGCGGGCGGGGTCCTGCCTGCGTGCGAATGTCAGGCCCACCCGCCCCATCTGTAAAAGAAAAAGTCTTCCGCCCAAGCATAACGCCAGCAGTTCTGCGCCACAGAGGCTTGAGACATGGAGGCGTGGGACACGGAGCAGCGCGGTGCGGTGGGAGGCGGCAGGACGGGGGGAGGGGTTACCCGCATCCTGCCAGCCGAACTCTGGAAGCTTGCCTGAATACCCGTATTTTCCGGCGTATAAGATGACTGGGTGTATAAGATGACCCCCGACTTTTGAGAAGATTTTCAGGGTTTAGAAAGTCATCTTATACGCCGGAAAATACGGTAGTTTTTGGTGAATGCTGACTAAAGCTGACATAACCTCAGTGTCAAGGTTCTGACTTATGAACCCAACCAAGCAAACACCTTCGAGACATTCCAATCTCTTAATGTAAAACTTTATTGAGTACATCACTTCGGCACTAATGAAAGCAAAACCAGCTCTGGCAAGACCCCTCCCAAACCCATATAGTAAAAGCATTGAATTCTCCCTCTTCCCTTTGGGTCAGGTCATGTTGCCCAATCAAGTAGAAAAATATTGTTATTAGAAAACATCTTGAGTCTCACAGTCTGGCTTCTTAATCTTTGAAGTCTGCATTCCAAACCTCTCCCCTCCCATCAAGTTTGTTGGCAAGCTGAGAAGCAATATTTGTTGCACCAGCAAGACCGTGCTTCAAAACTTGACACTCAGTTTCTACATTAAAGAGACGTGCTGTAATATGCTGATTGGTATCGTTGGAGATTCTCAGTCATCCAGGTCATAGCTGTCCCAAAGGTGCTTTTTTCAAGAGGCAACTGGATGACTGAGAATCTCCATAGACATTTAGCTATGCACTTTGGGATGAACACCCTCTGAATGATGCAGAAATATGAATGGATTTCCAGAAAAATTGCAGATTACAGGAACCATTTGTTGCTTCCATTTGAGATGCAGACAATACAGACAACCTGTGCCTGTGTTCAACAGTGAAGGGACACAGGGCAGAAAACATCCTGCAGAAAGCACAGCTCCAACTTCTCAATGACTCAGGTGACCCTGAGAACACAGATAAACCACCAAATGGCCTCAACAACTCTCTAAAAAAATGCAAATGGCCAACTGTCTGCAAAGAATATAAATCCTTCCATTCCCCACCATCCAGTCAGAGCTGAAGGAGCTTCTTGGATGAGAAGCGAAATGTCTTCAAAGAAAAACACGGAAATCCAGTTCCCTCTTGAAAAAAACCATCTTTGGCACATGCTGATTGGTACCTATTCTTTTTCCCCCCTCTTCTTTGTATTTCATAATGCATTTTTTTCCCAAAGTATTTTTAAAAATGCTAAATTAATATGATACAGTAAAGCATGCTGAGTATTTTGAGACACTATATTTTGGGAGAAAATGCATATACCGTATTTTCTGGCGTATAAGACGACTGGGCGTATAAGACGACCCCCAACTTTTCCAGTCAAAATATAGATTTTGGGGTAGGCAACCCAAAACACTCAAAGAGCCACTTGGACACGTTTCCCACCGAAAACAAAACACTGGGAGCCGCAAAACCCTTTTGATATCTAAAATGAAGATAAGACTGCATATATCCTTTTTTACCTTTATGATATGTGTGTGTTTGTGTGTATATATATAAAATAAAGGTAAAAAAGGATATATGCAGTGTTATCTTCATTTTAGATGTCAAAAGGGTCTCTCTGTCTCTCTTTCCTCTCTCTCTTTCCTTTCTTTCCTCTCTCTCTCTCTTTCTCTTTCCTCTTTCTCTCTTTCCTCTAACTTTCTCTCTCTCTCTTTCCTCTCTCTTTCTCTGTCTCTCTCTTTCCTCTTTCCTCTTTCTCTTTCCTCTCTTTCCTCTTTTTCTTTCCTCTCTTTCTCTTCTCTTTCCTTTCTCTCTTTCCTCTCTGTTTTCTCAATCTTTTTTCTCTTTCCTCATTTTCTCTCTTTCCTCTCCCCCTCTTTCTTTCTCTCTTTCCTCTCTTTCTCTCTCTCTTTCCTCTCCTTCTCTCCCTTTCCTCTCTTTTTCTCTTTCCTCTCCCCCTCTCTCTTTCCTCTCCCTCTTTATCTCTTTCTCTTTCCTCTCTCTTTCCTTTCCTCTCTTCTTTCTCTTTTTCTCTCTTTCCTCTCTTTCTCTTTCCTCTTTCTCTCTTTCCTCTCTTCTCTTTCTCTTTCTCTCTTTCCTCTAACTTTCTCTCTCTTTCCTCTCTTTCTCTGTCTCTTTCTTTCTCTTCCTTTCTCTTTCCTCTAACTTTCGCTCTCTTTCCTCTCTTTCTCTTTCTCTTTCCTCTCTTTCTCTTTCCTTTCTCTTTCCCTCTTTCCTCTCTCTTTCCCTTCTCTTTCTTTCCTCTTTCTCTTTCCTCTCTCTCTTTCCTCTTTCTCTTTTTCTCTTTCCTCTTTCTCTCTCTTCTCTTTCTCTTTCCTCTCTCTCTTTCTCTTTCCTCTTTCTCTCTCTCTCTTCTCTTTCTCTTTCCTCTTTCTCTTCTCTTTCTTTCCTCTTTCTCTCTCTCCCTCTCGCTCCAGGTTAGGAGAGAGAGAATGAAAGGCAGACGGCGCCGAACGGGCAGGGAGGGGGAGCAGGCGGGAGGCAGCAGCTCTAGTGGCGGCGGCGGCGGCACGGCAGCGGCCACTGCAGCATCGTCGGGAGTCCACGCTGCCCCCAGCCTGGCCGCTGTGTCCTCAGCCAAATGGGCGGTGAGGGGGAGCAGGACGGGAGGCAGCGGCTTCCGGTCGCCGCCCCATCGCGTCCTCAGCTGAACGGGCGGGGAGGGGGAGCAGGACGGGAGGCAGTGGCTCCCGGCCGCCACCCCCATTGGGTCCTCAGCTTATATAAAGGAATAAAATAGAATACCCGTATTTTCCGGCGTATAAGACGACTGGGCGTATAAGACGACCCCTGACTTTTTTTTTTAATAAATTTTTTATTAATTTTTGAAATTAAACAACAAATAATACAAATATGATGCATTTACTTACACAAGCAAAAAAGATAATCCTAGTACATTTTCGGAGACGCTCGGCAGTCCCCGCCTTGCCTCCACCCTCATTCACTTTCCTCTTCCTTCCTCTCCCTAAACCCACAACCTCTCCTCTTTCCTCCTTTCCACCTCCCTACATCCCATCTCCCTTCTTAACCACCTCATCGAGTGCAGTTTGGGGTACCAGCCGAGCATCTC